TAATACTTATACTAACTATTATTACTTTTTTCATTACGTGAAAGACTATAAGAAACAATAGAATCAAACTCAGTTGGGCAGCGAATCTTTATGAATTGTCCGTTTTAAATTACTACTCTGAACAGATTTAGGTTGAAGATAAATGTATAGATCACCAAAAGATGAAGAGAAGTTAGGGCAACCTTTAAACAAGTGTTTAAAGGTTGAACTGTATCCATAGCATATTTTACCCCACAGTAGCTCTGAAACATGCTCCGTTTCCACGGCTCCTCCACAGGGGGAAGCTGCTCTCATAAATCCCCTCTAATGGTTGTCAGCGAGGGAAGTTTTTAACACAAGAACTTAGCGGCAACACTTACTCACATGCGCAGAGCGAGGGTCTCAAGATGATGGATGGTAATACATACTGCACAGGGCTAACAGAGGTCCCTTCTGAGACGTTCGATTGCCTCTGGCAATGGGGTGCTGCTCGGCAACGCAGGAGAGGGTGGTAGTGAGAAGGGGAGGCAGGCTCTTTGTAGGGTTGAGACCGATGGGGTCTGCTCAATTTCCAGCGAGAGGAAGGGAGAACAACATGCGAGCAACTCTGAGTATGTATGGCAAGTCTGCTGATTACAGATGGAAAGAGAACAACCCAGATCTGACTGAGCTATGATTGTTTTACACCTGTTATGACCCCATCCTTGCTGTTATTGTAACAGAAGTTTTCTAACAAGGCATCACTTTTGAACTAATCTGTCCACCATCTTAACTGTTTCCTTGACAATAGCTCTACAGCAGAGCAGCTGTCCAGGCTGTGAAAACAGTACCTGTAGCGGCTTTCAAGTCCTTCAGGCATAGGCGTCCTCATCTTCCTATCATCAATCAATGCGTTCACATGGACACTCATCATCTGATTTCATTCTCTGAAGCATCTTTATGAAAAAATCTCTAAAATTGTTGAAAACATACTATAAATAGATTATGTTGCGAATTACCATGCTAATAAAAGCAGGTGAAAATCAAAAAAATATATAAATTAGGGATTTATTACATGCATCAAAACTATAGAAGTCAAAAACTGGTTAAAGTCAAACCCTCCCTTTCTGAATTACACCTATTCATGTCTTTTTATAAGACTATAACATATAGAGAGAAATAAAAATAGGCTATGGCTACAGGTATAACAAAAAAAAAATGCATGCATTAAAACTCATCTTTAACCTTTATCTGTAAAAAGGTTAAGCAAAGGGTTTCAGCATTGCATCACAATCTTTTAGTGCTAAGGTTTTCAAAGCAACAATAAAAAAAAAAAATTATTTAATCTGGATGACCTTGTTCTTTATTAATGCAATGCAGGTTTTGTTGATATATTTAAAAAACCAATCATTTAATTAGTCTTGTAACATATGATAAAAGTTACCAGAGTTTTTAATTTAACAAATTTACAATGGACAATTAGCAGAACTTTCATAAACGACTACTGCAAACTGTGGTTAATACATGATCCACTTAACAGTAACATGTAAAAACAAAAATGCACAGCTAGTTCTTTGATAGAAAAGTACTTCTAAATACAAAAAAATGAACAAAGAATAAAACGTGATTTCTAGCCTTTGGAGATGACTTATTGTATCGATGAAAGAACCTGACTCTAACCTTTGATATATAATAATAATAATAGCCAAAATAAATTATTAAATGATGCTTTATAGATCAAATACTGTGGGAGATCTTAGTTTGTTTGCCTTTTATGAGTAGGAATATAAATGTATATTATTTCTTGCAGATGGATTGTTGCATCTCTTAAAAAGAATTAATCAAAGATATGTTTTGTTTTTATAATGAAAAAAATGCACTGATTTAATTAGTCAGCTAATATGTACGAGTATGGAAGACCAAGGAGTGTAATTATTAAGTTACCGCAAATAAATTAGCATCTTATTTATACGCAGGCTAGCGTTTCTTTTAAATAACGATTTTCTCATCTAGTTGTTGTGTTGAAGTTTTGTTAAAAAATGACATCTGAGTTACCCAAACAGAAATGTTAGCTCCACTTTGTTAAAAATTGATATTTTGATTATTCTAAAGGTTTTATTTATTATTATTTTTTTTAGAGTTGCAGTGTTTTTTTTCTTTAGTTTTTTTTTTTATTATTATAAAAAACTCTAATGTTTGGGGCAGCCTGTGATGCTCTGTGATGATTTTCATGGCGTGTTCTTCAAAGGTACCCAGAGGGGATGAAGGATTGAAAAATTGTCAACGTGTAAAAGGTCAGTGTGCCCAGGACGGAAGATATTGTGAAGTGTGAGTTTACTTTTGGATAAGACATGCAAGCTGCCATCCTCAACAAAAATGTTTTCTGCAAAGCCTAGTCATCTGGGATTCAAGTGGAGAGTGTAAAGTTGTTAAAGTATGCTACTGTCTTTGACTGCATGTCGTTTTTTTTTTAGTGCTAGTCACTTTTTATCTGCTATCGCAGGTTGTGGTCTGAAGTAATCCCAGCAGATAACAGGAAGTAAAATGCACCCAGTAAACCAACGTATTTATTTACTTCCTGTTAGAGACATCTGTAGATCAGTGGGCATTTTTTGCACCATGTTTTTTCTCCCACACTGTTTACATTTGATCCCTGCTGCACTTTAAGAAAATGAAATTTCATGAGAGCTGAACAAAAGGACATTAATTTTGTTTACACTCTGAATATAGAAAATGACAATAAAAGTTGTCTAAGTCATTAAATGAACATATCAGTTTTGCAATGTTTCTCAAAAAAAATCTGAACTGACACATTAGCACAAGCTTTAAGAGCTAAATGAACTGTATTGATGACACTAATATGCTTGCTATGTTTTGATCCTAAACAAAAAACAATGCTGAACACATCTGGCACTGGCTAGTTTTTAATACTTTACTGCAGACTTTTACTTAAACCATAAACGACTCAGGGAAATTTAATATTAAATCTAGTTTTCATTGTTTGATGAGCAGACTGACACCTCAGTAGTTCAGCACCACTCCATCTATAACTTTGTAGCCTATTTTCCCTGAGTGTCTGTTGGATCAGAAGTTCCTGGGCGGCAGACTAACAAGTGACGGGCAGCCAGTTTAATTCAAGCACCAAAGACAACTCCACATAAATTGAAAAAAGTAAAAAAAACAACAACAACAAAAAAATATATATATAAACGCACGCTATGAAAACAAGCCAAAAAGTGTTGCAGTTCTGTGTTCTGGCCACAAGTGGCAGTATCATTAGAAAACTCCATAATGCCCCTTTAATATCTGTAGTTGAGATGCATTACCAAGGTAACCACCACTGGCCACATATCCTGCAGGTCGGTCAGCTCCAAATGTTATCTACTGTCTTGCGGTTACAATTAGCACTTTAGTCAAAGCAATAATTTAGTTCAACCACTGAATGAATGGGAATTTATTTCAGACAATTTGACAAACAACAATAAACAACAATATATGAATCAACAACATACACACAAAAGAGATTAATTAACATCAACCAAACCAAATACAAATATTCAAACTAACTAAATTCACCTGGTCATAAATAGAGCCACCAAAAAAACCTGTTGGTATATACAGCCAGAGAAAAGACAATGATTAATGGAAATTGTCTGAAAAGGGGTATGAAGAAGTAATCATTCTATTTGACATAAACTAAATAAGAATACTGATAACAGCTTTGATTCTGACAGTAAACAAAAATACATGGAACGCTATCAACTTCCTTTAGACCATTCTGAGTCACTTAAACAGGAGTATCCCCACACAATGATACTGCCAGACACTAAAGCTGTAGAGGTTTTGTGCAATGGGAAATATTTGCAAACACTCAAATAAGTCTTGATTTTAGGCAAGGTAAAAAAAAAGTGGAGAAGCTTTCTTGCCGCCAGCTCATCTACACTGAGCAGCAACATGTTCTTCTTCAGTCCCTATTACTGATCAGCCGTCCACTCAACTCTGAGAGGACACAAAAAAATGTTGTTCTGTTGAGATCCTTTTCTTCTGCTTCTTTTCTTTCTCTCATTTAAACCATTTTTACCCCAGAAGAAACAGTTGTAAAAACTGTACACTGGTTAAGATAAATGCTAATGGCATGAGTGGTTAGTATACAGGAGCACAGGAAAAGTCAACCCTTTTCTAAGAGCAGTAACCTGCAGTATTAGCATGCTTTCAGCACAGCGACAGGATGTTTACTGCAACACTAAAATATTTACAAAACACTTATATTTGCCCTTCTTGCAAGCTAGGCAAAAAATGTAGATGCTGTTTCAGCCTGCTGACTAGCAGTGCACAGCAACAGCTGAGAGAGATGCTCCTATGCGTCAAACACTGGCATTTTAATCAACTTTAAAACTTTTTTTTTAAATAATACTGAATGATAGTGGCCCCTACCTAACTTACTACAGCAACAAAACAGAAATGCATTGCCTAAATAACTGCTGTACCTTTGATGCCAATATTTATTTAGAGATGATGCATTCTATTTCTCATTAATTTTGTATTTTGAGTCAAAAAAAAAATTATTTTTTAATGTAAATTTAGGATTTTAGAACTGGAGATTTTAAAACGACATTCATAGATATGATCTTTGAATCATTTCAAATATATTTAAAAAAAATCATTTGTTTAAAATTAAAAGTCATTGAAAAATGATGTTTTCTTAAGCATTCAAGACACTGATACACTTCCTATTTTCTTCTAACCTTAACCAAACCCCGTGCAGAGGTCCTGTTGGCAGCTGAACATGAAGATGAAGGTGAAAATGTGAGCAGTGGAGGTAAATGAGCGTCTAAAATGTAACAGAGCAGCCTGGACGTGGTCAGAAAGAGCGTCTCTGAGCCATCTTCATGGCGCAGTAAGGTGGACACACATGGCCGGAGCTGAATGCGGACCTGAACACCCCCAGCCCATCCACATCAATCCCCAACCTAAATTATAAAACAAAACAACACGCTTCTCTTCTATTCTGCTTCTATTCTGTTTGCACACAGCGGTCTTACCTGAATAAATGAATGAATCGTTAAGTTGCGGAGACGACTTTCTCTTTTCAGGCGCACGTCCTCCGCTGCAGCCGCATCTTCTGCTTCAGGATTAATATTTCATGCGAAGATTGTTTTATATATATAAATATATATATATATATATATTATCAGGATTTCAGGGTAATTCTGCTTCCACCTTTTAAATAATCCTCCGTGCAGCGTGTTTTTTTTTCTTTTTTTTTTTAAGAAATAGAGCAGATTGAAAGAGTAATAAAGGGTAAAGGGAAAAGAATGTGTTAAAATCTTGTTTATTATAAGCATAAACGCCGAGTAAATGTTTCAGGTTTTTTTTTTCTTCCCTCTCTCCCTGCCTGCCTCTCTTTGGCAGTAGTCTGTCTAACTCTCGTTTTGTTTTTTTTTTCCAAGGCGGGGTCTTGGGTCGTTTAAACCAATGACATAAACCAAGGAGAAGAAGAACGCCCCCCCCTTTCGCTTCCATAAAATCACTCACACACACACACACGCACACACACCCCCTCCTCATATGCTTAACCTAACTAAAGAGGTCAAAAGGGAAAAATTACACTTTTTCTTTTTAACTCAACTCAAACTTTATTTATAAAGCACATCAGTGGCGGTTCTAGATTAAATTGACCAGGGGGCCAGAATGGGGTGTTTTCATGGGGGCCCAGAAAAGCATATTTCTTATTAGGTAAATACATTCATAACTTAGGAAATGTTCCTATTTTTGACTTACTTTGAGTTAAAATTACTGTTTTTATAAAATCTGAATTAAAACTCAATAAAACATTTTTTTTTATTTGTTTTGAAAAATATATTTAGCAGATGAAAACTGGGATCCTATCTCAATACTACTGAAGCTATCACCTTATTGTTTTTAAATAATTAGTAAAACAGAATTTGTAAAGAAAAAAAATAAATAAATTAAGCATCATTAGAATTTCTTTGAGTATTATTTCGTCAGTATAGGGGCCAGGACAGGATCTACAGGGGCACTAGCCCCCATTGGCCCCTGTCTGAAACCGCCAATGAAGCACATTTAAAACAAAAGTTCTGTACAGGAATCACAGATGCAGAGCATAAGATACAAACTGAGAGCTAAAATACATAAACTTAAAATTACGGAGATAAAAAATAATAGGATAAATGATTCAATTTAAAATATAATTTTTTTCAAATGTCCACTTAGACTTGATTAAAAGGGAGAAGAAGTGTGCCTTTAGAGAGGATTTAATAATCTCAAAGTAGCCTGCTGATCAAATACTGTATGCAAAGGCAAGTTATTCCAGAGTCTCTGTGCCACTGCCATAAAGGCATGATCACCTTTGGTTTTAAGTCTGGTTTTAGGCATGGCCAGTGGCAACTGATTAGAGGATTACCTTCATTTAGATTCAGAAAGTTTGAGGTCATCCACGATTTAACATTGTTTAAGCAGTTAGAAAATTACTGTATGGGGTTGTTGGATTTTGATGCTAAAGGAAAGTAGATCTGGACGTCATCAGCATAACAATGAAAGGAAAGAATATGTTTCCTGTTTTAAAACTAAAAAAAAAAAAGATAATTCTTATCTAGAAAGACATCTTTTCTAGGGGCCAGAGCACATCTTAGTGCCCATCTTCTATGTAATGAAATACAGATTTAAAAAGTAACACATTTTTGAATGCAATAATTGGAAATAAAAATAAAATGCTGCTCATGTTAGTTTTGATTACATCATTGTGCCTCATCATCATTTGTATGCACTATAGTAAACAAGAGACAGATATTGGAAAATACTCTGAAGCATTTTAGAAGCAATTGCATTTCAAGGGGGTTTAGCTTTTTTAAATGACTGAGTCTGAGATCTGTGTCATGATGGGTACCGGCGATGATGGCGAAGCTCAACCAAGAAGAGTGTGACCTTGTGTGACTTCAAGAAACCCTCTTTTTGAGTTTTCTTGACTTTTCTTAAAAATACATTATGTAAGTTTTTGTTGAAAAATATTTTTAAAATAGCCTTTTTATTTGACAATTTACAACTAAAACATAATTTTTTGAGTAGACTGACACCTCAGTAGTTCAGAGCCATGCATCTCTGAAAACAGGTTGGATGTTTCGTAGCTTTTTATACAGGTGTGACCTCAAACACGTCCATGTTAAATGGACCCAACATAGCAAACAATTGAAGTTTTATATTCAGTATGGATTTTGCGGATACTCAGAAGTGACCAGCATAAATCTAAACTCAGACACCAATGGCAACTCCATGTTTGGTGAAAAAAGTAAAAAACTGAAACAAAAACCTTGACAAGTCACAGAGGAAGCTATGAGACTGAGCAGAAGAGTGCTGCATTTCTGTGTTTTGGCCACGGGTGGCAGAATAATTGGAAACTCCATAATGCCTCTTCTAATCAAAGCAGATTTATAAAGCAATTTCTATCTAATTACTCCATAAACTAAGTTATGTGGAAAGACGTGGAGTAGCATAGGGAATATGAACACATGAAAAGAAAGAAAACTATCAGCAAAAAGGCTCATAAATCCCCAAAATGTGAGTTTTGTGTGAAATTCTCACTCTTCTAAAATATGGTAATATCTCATAGTTACAGCTGCATTATAAACTACTTACTGAACGTTGGAGTGCAGATGGAGACCTAACCTGGGAGTAAAAAAAACATAATTACCTCTGCAAAGAAGGATATGTTTTTAGGAGAGTTTGTGTATTTTTCTATCTGTATACAGGATAACTTATAAGTTATGCACAGATTTTAATTGAATGTTTTATCGGTGTCCCTCATGCCAAGAAACAATCCATAAAATTTTAGTGATGATCTAGATCATAATCTGGATACAGGACTTTAAAAAAAAGATTATCTAATGTTGTGAGATAGGGATATCAAGCAGTTCCCTACTGAACCAGAGGGTGGCAGCAGTGACTTTTTACAGCTTCAACATCGGACTCAAAAAGTCCGGCAGTATTTTACAGAAGAGAAAAACACAAGAAAAGGGAATGTTACTGGTGTGTTAGCAGGATCTATTGGAAACATTTTTTGTGCCTCATGTCAAGGAACAATTCATTAAAATTTGATAATGATCCAGATCATGTTAAAATTTTAGCTAAAGGAGTAAGTCAACATATGAGTCAACATTTGTTGCTTGGCTGAGGTCTGAGCTCTCTGAGTGCTTTTTTAGTTTGACCATAAATTAGTAACAGCCGGGAGCATCTTCAAGGATTTTAGACAGAAGAGTCAAAGAGACGATTAAAAGATTTTTTTCAAGAGCAATCAGAGCTAATAAAGATCCAAAACCACCTGCAAAATAACATCTGAAGTCTCGATCAGACCACAAACAATAGTGATTCATTCAATCGTAATGGCTTCAATGCATAAACATAGTACAAGTCTCCACAGAGAAAAAAAAGGATCTTAAAGCTTGTTTTATGATAGTTTGCAAAAGAGGTCCTTGACAACTTTAGAAATGCTGTGATAATTTGTTCTGGTCAGATAAGACCAAAGTTAAACTCTTTAGGTGTCATTCGCACAAATAAAAAAACACAATAAAAAAAAGAGTCTGCAGGTGGGAACAATGTAGTGTGGAGTGTCTTTAGTCATATGCTATTGGCAGACTTCATATGACTGATACTGATACACTTGATAATCTTAGTACAAAAAAACTGATTATTTCTAAACACTTAAAGAGTTCAAAACACACAGACAAAAGTGATTAAATGATGCGGTTAATCATCTGCTTTGCATCCAATTAGAAATCGAAAAGAATGGATCAAAGTAAACAAAAGCTACCTCTTAATTTACTTCTAAAAAATCCTGAAGTTGAGATTTTAAACTGAGATTTGCTGGCGAAGATTTTCAGTCATCAAGGCATTACTCATTCCAAAATAAGTTTAAAAAAAATTTGAAGTTGTATTTGAAACATCTCTATATTGAATGTATTGCTTAGAATTGTAGCTATTTCTATTATTTCAAGTTGTTTTGCTTAAACCATATTTTTTATTATATTTTATTTTTAACAATTGTGTATAGTGTCAAAATACTGATGTAAGGTAAGTTTTAGTGGCTGTTTCACAGTCTTGTGACGTTGGGTGCACAGCAATAAGTGGGGGAGGTGCCCTTTTTTGCTATTCTATATTTCACACAGCTGCTAAAAAAATCCAATCATTCTGGTACTTTCTCTGTCATCTCATAAAAGGGAATTAAACATGTAGAAACCGTGAGTGGAATAGTTTTCAATTTTAAAGCTTGAATTATTTAAACTCTACTGTGATACCTCCAGTAAAACTGGAGGAATGAATGAACCCCTTAAAGCAACTAAGGTACCTGGTTCTCAGATTAAATAGTGAAGCTGTTTTTGATGGCAAGAAAGTTGCAAATATGAAAAGATAAATCATTGAACATTCAGTTATTTCTGCCTTAGCTTTAGCAGAAAGGTGCAACTTCAAAGCCAAGGTAGAGAAAGCTTTCTCAAGCTTATGATTAATCAAACATTTAAAATGGGAAACAACTCGTGTTAGTTTTCCATTTAGTTCTATGGGAGATGGCATCTGAGAGCTCTAAAATTTTATACAGCACATCAGGAGACTTGTAAAAAGTAAATTTTATCTCATGGAGGTCAGTTTTGCTTGGATTCTTGCTATTATGTGCCACTTTAGGCTAAAAGCCCTTCAGAATCTGGCTAGATCTAATATCTAGATAAACTGGCCTTTACCACAACCAATTCAGATAGATAATGAAATCCTTTCTACAAATTCAGAGCATGAAGAATGAAGTATTAAACTTAATAAAGGGGAAAGGTTTAAAAAAAAAAATTAAAGGTCTAAAAATCTGAGGAAATATTTTATCCACTCAAGGAACAAAGACACGTGCGCCTGTGATACTTGAGTTTCAAGTCTGTAATAAAGATGTGGTTTGACGTACTACAAATAAGTCTTTGAAGTAGGCTTGTCATCTATGCTGCATGTAAGAAAGCTCACATAATAAAATATTGAAGGAATAATTCATGTGTAAGGAGTACTTTTTTTCACAGAACACTGGAAATATAGGCAAGAAAAGACCTCATATTGAAAATAGTCAGATTCTCTTACATTTTTACGTTGTGAATCCTATTCAAGCTGAAATGTGGAGTTAGTAAGGGAAGTAAATCTAATTTAGCGAATATTGTGTGACTGTGTAAATACCAGAACGTTGCACAATTGATTTGACAAGTGTGCGTAGTGAAACCCACAAGCCGAGCACTCTGCAGATGCATGGGGTCACGGATGATGTCACATGATGAATTTTTGCATCCTTGTTCGGTAAATTGTTGCACAAAGGGGCAATTTTGAGCCACATGACTCAATTAAAGCATGCAGGGATTTTCTTCCAGGAATATGGCTCACCCTTTCAC